AGCTTGGGCTTGGGGGAGGATATATCACCCACTGGAGAGGAGCCAATCTCCTTGGAGGATGGCCCCTTAGGCCAATGGAGGTTCCTGTTTGAATGGGGAGTAGTGGGACTGTATTTGTGGCATGACAAGGAGTTGGGTAGCTGGGGCAGGAGACTGAGAGGCCCATCATGCCTCCTCATCCGCTTTGTTGTTACCTACTGAGATGAGGTCTTCTCCCTTTTGATGTCCCTTACAATGTGTGACTCCAGCCCTGTCAGGAAATCAGGCCGGTTGGAGGAGATGGAGAATGAGAGGGGCATTTGTGATGGGGACCCTTTTGTGGATAGGAACCCTTGCTCCTGCCAGATGGCTGCATGAGGGTGTAAGATATGGTAAGCATATTTAGAATCAGTTTAGATATTGGCCTTCTTTCCTTTGGCCAGAGTTAGGGCTCGAGTGAGAGAGATCAGTTTCATCTTCTGTGAGGTCGTCCCTCTGGGGAGGGGATTTGCCTCTACAGTGTTTGTAAGGGAGATGATGGCATACCCTGCTGTTTTTGTGCCATCCTGAGTGGTGGAGCTCCGTCAATGAACCAGACGAGATCTGGGTCTGGGAGGGGTTCTGCTACAATGTTAGGAAAATGGGGTTTAAGATGTTCTAGAATCTCTATACAGGAATGTATGAGGGAGTTTGAGGGGTCAGGGAGAAGGTTCGTAGGATTGAGAGGAGGGCTTCTGTCTACCTTGAAGTTGGGCGTTTCTATGAATATGGTGTGAAACTGCTGTACTCTTGATGGTGATAGGTAGCTCATAGCTCTGTAGGAAAGGAGGTCCTGTAGGTTGTGTGGGCAATAGATAGTGGTGTCCTGCCCAAAGGTTAGTTTCCTACTTTTCTGTGCTAAGAGGGCAGCTGCCGCCAGGGCTCGTAAACAGGTAGGCCATCTTCTCACTGGGTCATCTAACTGTTTTGACAGGTAGGCTACAAGCCCAAAGGTGGGCCCCTTGTTTGGCCCAGTGCTCTGAGGGCAATACCTTGTCTTTCAGTCACATAGAGGAGAAAAGGCTTAGACAAGTCCGGAAGGGAGAGGGCAGGGACAGAGAGGAGAGCTTGTTGAAGAGCTCTTAAGGCCAGGACTATGTTGACTGTGGGGTCTAAGGGCTCTGAAAGGGGACCCTTAGCAGCCTGATAGAGTGGGTGAGCTAAGAGACCAAAATTAGAGATCCAGATGCGGAGAACCCTGCCAATCCAAGGAAGGAGTGGTTGTTAGGTGAGGTGAGGTCCCTAATGAGAGCTGTCCAATCTGCAGTGGTAGCCCTCCGGGTGAGGGAGAGTTGAGTCCCTAAGTAGGTAACTGTGGGTGTGGACAGCTGGGCCTTGGTGGGAGATACCTGGTATCCTTTAGAGGCTAGGAAATTTAGTAGGGAAGCGGTGTGTTGGAGGGATAGGATAGGTGAGAAACTACAGAGAAGTAGATCATCTACATATTGTAGAACTGTACTGGGGGCTAGATCGAGGGAGGCCAGATTTGAGGCAAGTGCCTGGCCAAAGAAGTGAAGGCTGTCACGGAAACCTTGTGGGAGGACTGTCTAAGTAAGCTGTCTGGATTGTAGGGTGTCTGGGTCCGTCCAAGTGAATGCGAAAAGGTCCTGTGAGTCTGGGTGGAGGGGGGTGGTAAAGAACGCATCCTTGAGGTCTATAACTGTGAAATGAGTGGTAGTAGAAGGGATGAGAGATAGGAGCGTATATGGGTTGAGGACTATAGGGTGAATGGAAAGTACTGTGGAGTTGATGACTCAGAGGTCCTGGACCAATCTATATGTTCCATTGGGTTTCCGTACAGGCAGGATGGGGGTATTGTATGGAGAATGGGTTGGTCGTAGGAGGCTTTGAGCAAGGAATTTGTCAATAATAGGTTTGAGTCCCTTTTGATGGAGGAGGGAAATGGGGTATTGTGGCTGGTTTGGAAATTTAGAGGGGTCGCAAAGCTGTATCCTTATGGGAGGATGATGTTTGGCGACAGAAAGAGTCGAGGTATCCCAAACGAGGGGATTGACTTCTGAAGGGGGAAGAGGAGGTTGGAGGGGAGATGAGAAGAGGACGGGATCGAGAAGGAGGAGTAAGGCTGGCTCTGGGTGTGGGAGATGGAAGGAGAGTGAGGCCTTAAACTTGGAAAGGCGGTTCCTTCCTAGTATAGCAGTGGGACATCAGGGAAGGATCAGGAAGGAGTGTGAAAATAGAATGTTAAAAAGGGTGCATGACAGTAAGGGGGTTGAGAGAGGCTGAGATATTAGGCCGTCAATGCCCACAACAGAGACCTGGTAGGGGTGTGTGGGGCCTGAAAATTCAGGCAGGGCGGAAAAGGTGGCCCCTGTATCTATCAAAAAGGAGATTGGCTTATCTGCCACTAGAAGCGTTACCTTGGGCTCCAAGGTGGTGATTGGAGAAGGGGGCCGGGGGCCCTGGGCACCGTCAGTCTTCAGCGGCAAGGCTGAGTAAGTTTGGTAGGGCAAGATGAGGATCGTTGTCCACGGGAAGGGGGGGGGTTTAGGGGGGATGGAAAGGGAGCGCCTCTTCCCTGGGAAAGACAGTCAACTTTCCAATGTCCCCTCTTACTGCAAGAAGGATAGGGTCCGGGCGAGGGCCACGGACTGGGGCAAGCTCTTGCCCAGTGCCCGTCTTTGCCGCACTTGAAGCTTCTGTGGGCCCCTTGGTGATGGACCTTGTGCCCTGTTAGGAGCTCCTTTTCGATCGGAGCCCCTGATAGCTGCCGCCAGCAGCTGGTATTTTGTCTGATCTTGGAGGGTTTTTTCTAGTTTTTCCTGTTCATCCTGATTGTTAAAGACCTTAAAGGCCAGGGCTAAAAGGTCCTGCTGGGGGGTTTGAGGGCCTGCCTCAGATTTTTTGAGGTTTTTTTCCCGGATATCTGGAGTTGACTGTGAGATAAAATGAGTATTAAGGACAATGATTCCTTCCCGAGATGAGGGGTCTACCCTAGTGAATTTCTGAGGTGGGATAAAAATTGGGCTGGATTTTCATCAGCCCATTGAGTGATTTCCTTCATCTTTTCAAAATTAACTGCTTTGTGGGCCGCTTTATGGAGGCCCGTTATGAGACAAGTTATCATATGGATTCTGTGGGCCCGTCCTGGGTTATTGGTCTGATAATCCCAATTGGGTTCTTCCGGGGAAACAGCCGCTGTACCTATGGGTTTTTGGTTATCTTGCTGATGAAGCTCCTTGGTGTGTCCCTGTGCCGCTACACATACTCGCTCCTTCTCCTCCGACAGGTCATGCCATGTGAGGTCGTACGACTGGGTTAAGTATTTGAATTCTTTAATGTAGGTTTCGGGGTTGGAAAAGAAGGAACCTAATCGTTTTTCTACCTGAGAAAGGTCAGAGAGAGAGAATGGGACATGGACTCAGATAATGCCCTCTGTTCCAGCTACCTCCCAGAGCGGGAGAAGGGAAGCAGGGTGCGCTCGAGAGCGGGTGAATGGAGGGGAAGGAGGGCCTGGAAGGGAACTTGGGGCCGAGGGCCCTGGGGTCTCAGAGTCTAAATCGCCAGCTGAGGACAAGGCTGGAGGAGAAAGAGGAAGTGTAGGCGCATAAGGAGGGGGAGAAGGTGGAGGGGAAGAATGGTCTGCCAGGTCAAAAGAGGAAGACTCGTCCTCGAGGGACGAGGCGTGGAGGACGTTTAGTGTGCCCAAGGAAGATTTGGAAGGTGGAACTGGACTGACAAAGGGAGGGCCGGAAGCGGAGAGTGAAGAAAGCCTGAATATAGGGGATCTCTGACCATTTTCCATTGTGATGACAGAAGTTATCTAGGCCCCTAAGAGTGTTAAAGTCAAAGGTTCCGTTTTCAGGCCATTGAGATCCATTATCCAATTTATATTGAGGCCAGGCAGTGTTGCAAAAGAAAACTAAGCATTTAGGCCGAATTTCACTCCGCAGGCCGAGGGCGTCTAAATTACCTAACAGACAGCCTAAGGGTGTACCCTTAGGAGGGAGAGACGAGGAGGCGCCCATTTTGTGAGTCAGATGTGGGAAAAGGGTGAAGGCAGAAACCCCCATTAGGAAGAGGATAAAGGGAGGAGGCATCTCACCTTCCAATATTCTATTCCTGAGACTGTGAGAGACCTCTACTAGGGTGGGCGTCCCCTGAGAGGGTCAGGGCCCATGGGCCGAAGGAGTCTTCTGGCCTAGGGCTAGGTCTTGGTCTGACGAACAGAAGACCCGAAAGAGAGTAGGGAATCCGTACTCACCCAAATAGGAGGTATGGACTAGTCTACTGATGTCTGTGAGGTCAGCACTGGAAGCAAGAAATTCCCTGCGGGTGTCTCCCAGGTCCAGGAGGGAGACCAGAGTGTGGATTGAGCCCAAGGGAGGGAGAGGAGGGTAAGGGCGATCCAGCACTTTCTTGGTCTTGCCCATCCCAGGTTTCAGCACCAAAATGAAAGGTTTGCCGAGGAGAGAGGAGTCAAGAGACACCATTATTCAAGCGAGCAAGTTTATTTGCCTGCCGGGCTATGCCAAAAAATGGTGCCAGCCCTGACTTGGTGGTCAGGTGCAGCCTTTATAGGGTGGGGTAAACAAGCTGATTTGGGGCCAGCCGAGTGGCGCGATGGTTAGGAACTGGCTTGGGACGCCAGAGGGCCCCGGTTCGGATCCCACATAGGGCCAGTGACACTGCCCTCCACAGCTAAGATGCTGAACAACAGCTCAACCTGGAGCTGGGCTGCCATGAGTCGCCGGCGACGGCGTAGGCTGCAGCCCCTGTGGCAGTGGGTTGCCATGGGCTGCTGTGTGTGGCCAGCAGCCAGCGTGAGCGGCCAGCAGCCGCAGTGAGCGGCTGTCCAGACGCCGGCGACTGATTTGCCTCGCCCGGGAGGAGCGCAGTGATGGTGCCAACTTGGGCCAGTGGAGCGGCGTCCTCCACAACTAGACTGAAGAACAAGACGACAGCAACTTGTCTGTTCCCCTTCCCCCAATTCCCCAGTGCTGTTCCCATACCCCAATTCCCCAATAAAAAAAAATCTTAAAAAAAAACAAAAAAACAAGCTGATTTGGGTCACGGGGAAAATTTTTACCAGCTAAGCAGGATGTGTGCGAGATGTGCTTGCCTAATCAAGCAAGATGTGTGTAAGGGGGGACAGTTATTTTTTTCTGTCAAGCAGGATGTGGGCTGTGCGCCCGATATTGTATGGCTGAGCTAGCCCTCGGGGCAAGTAGAACCCTTCAGTTTAGTTCGACACTCGGTTTGTATTTCAGCCTTTCTAACGGCCTGGGAGAGAACTCTCCTCGAGGCCTTCCTGGATTACAATACACTTAGCTGAGGGAAAACCAAAGAAGAGAGTACCCACCCTTCACATGAAAGAATGAGGGGCCACCAGGGACCTACAGATAGGGGATCTGAGGTGTGCCATCCACTTTCCAGACAGACCTGCCCTCCTTTGGGAATTCCACTGAGAATTTATTTAAACGTCTCACCGAATACCTCCCGGGCCCAGCAGGTGGATAGAATTCTGTCCCCACTTTCTAAGGGACCTGCCTCATTAAAAGAATTAAATGAAAAGCGAATGGTAAAAACAAGACATTTCCAATGGTCATGCTTCTGGCCTCATCAGGACGTACTGGTCAGGACAAGTCAAGAATTTCAAAGGGGATATTGCATTTTTAGGGCACTTCCAATTTTTTTAAGCATCCTCTGGATGGTCCTCCCCAAGGACTTTTTTGCCTTCAAGAGAGCCAATACTTGTTTTTTACTTTATTGTATTAAGGTACACATAACATAAACTTTACCATCCTAACCATTGTTAAGTGCACAGCTCAGTGGCATTAAGCACCGTCACACCGTCCTGCAGCCATTCCCATCATCCAGCTCCAGAACTTTCCATCTTTCCAAACTGAAACTGTCCCCATTAAACACTCACTCCCATCCCCTCCCCCAGTCCCTGCCCCCCACCATCTACTTGCTGTCTGTGAATCTCACTCCTTTGGGGACCTCCTGTGAGTGCAGTCACACAGTGTTTGTCCATAATAAGTACTGTGAGTATGATTGACAAGCAGTGACTGACTCAGTGGGACAGGGTGACATGGAAAAAGGCCTGGGGCTGGTGCCACGGAAGACCATCACTCCACAAACACTGGTTGAACACTAACTGCATGCCACATGCTTGGGATGCCGAGTGTGACCCTGCCAGCCCATAGTGGGGCTCACAGCCCCGTGGGGTGGGGTGGGGGCCAGAGGTACCCGTGGGAGCAGTGAGTGTCACCAAGTGAAATGAACCGGGCAGAGGAGGGAGGGTTTATTTCATGGTGGGTGTGGACAAGCACTTTGAAGGAGGGCAGAAGGACCCCTTTAAGCCCTCAAATCAAGCACTTTTCTCTGCCAGGTCAGGTGCTGTCCACACAGGACTCCATAATGTCAGGGCTTTTCTGGTGCACCATGGTGGGGACTCCAGGGAGGCATGGAGGCCCTCAGATTGGGAGCTCAGGTCTCCTTCAGACTGGAAGGTTCCCCCTGGTTGGAGTGGGGCGGGTATCCTCTCTCAGATTGGGACTTAAAGGGAGGGGTCAAGTGTCTTCCCCTTCAGACTTGCAGCTCCTTAAGGTGCCAGGATCCATGCCCCCCTCCCCAATAGTCCCTCCCCCCTCAGACTAGCAGGAACAATTAAATCTGGAAGGCTGGGTGCTGGTCTCCTTTCTTCTTGGATCTAAGAGTGTTTGGCAAAATCTTTGAAGCAGAAAGACTCAACAGAGGTACCATTTCATCCCTGGCTTGAGACCCAGAAAGCAGAACAGTTTTTCCAGGAAAGTAAAAACAGAAAAGTAAGCCCTCGAGTCTGAAGGCACACCCGCCCTCAGGATTGTCAGCACTTCACTTGTGGTTCTCGGATGGTGGATTTAAATGGGGACCTGTTTCCTAAGGTGGGGGGCTCTGTCACGGTCTTGGCAGTTCCCACAGGGCCAGGCATGGCAGGGGGTGGGCGCCCCTATCCTCAGGCTCAGTCTTCATTTTCACTGGCGTAGACTCCAGCTTCCCAGCGTTCCGCCATGGCATTCTTGTGGCGGGTCACCCGCGTGGCTTCCAGGACCTGCAAGAGAAGGCATGGAGTCCCCATTAGGGTTCTAACCCCCATCCCAATATCTCCTCCCTCTGCTAGCTCATAGGAGAGGCCGGGAACAGGGGTAATGCAGGACCATTCGCTCCTCTGTTTCAGACCTTCTACCCCTAGTAATACCACCAAGGAACACGCCAACTCATGCTGAGCTCCACAGCAGGGGAAATGCCTGGGTCTGGCATTTGGGGCTCAGCTCAAAGAGGGCCTCAAATGCATCCCACAAATCCACTGAGGTAGCTGGCCTTCACACTCCCAGACAAACCCTTCCCTCAAAGAGAATGCCCTCATCTTGGGCTTAATCTACCCCCAAACCTTTACCACCTGACAAGGAGCCTACATGTGTGGACCCCCTTTGCACAATCTGTGCCCACGGCAGGCAGCACAAGCCAATCACAGCCAAATCCACCTCAGGCAGACACTATCAATTGTGGAGTTACCCAAGAAAGTTTCCACACCCAGAAGAAAGGCTTCTGATGACCCTGATGCCATAGGGCAGGTGGCACAGACCGGGGAGGGAAAGACTTGGTCCTGGCCCTCAGGAGCACACTCACCTCCGAGTTGACGTGGTCTAAAGGGTTGATGCCAGCGTACTACAGAAAAGAAAAATACGTCAGCCTCCAGGCATCAGGTCCTCCCCCACCCCAGGGCCCACGTGAAACTCAATGCACAGCCCACTCAGTCACCACCTGGGGGAGAGGGAAGGCATTCCCTGCCCACCATGGTCCCCCTGAGTGCCTCTCAACCACCCCAGACTCAACGCCATCCACCATACTGTTCCCTCATGTTATTCCCCTCAGTGCAGCCTCAGTCTATCACTTGCATTTTTTTTCTCCTTGTCAACTTCATCATAATAAAGACAGTTGACATTTATGGAGCTGTTTCTGTGGCCAGGCCCAGCTATAAGGCTCAGAAGAGGCTGGTCTTATTATCATGCTCATTTCACAGAGGAGGAGACTGAGGATCAGAGAGGGGCAGGGACTTGCCCAATATCACACAGCCAGCAAGAAGCAGGAATGAGACTTGAACCCAGGTCCCTGAGCTCCACTCTGTGCCTAGCCCACCAGGCTAAGCTGTGAGTACCAGGTGGGTAAGGCTGGAGTTGGGGTTATTTTCCATGGTGTTCCCAATTACCCTGCCCAGAGAGGAGATGGCATCATGGTTACAAATGCAAGGTGTGGCTAAGCCTGGGTTCAAGTCCCAACTTGGGAACTCACGGGCCATGTGGACCTGGGCACGTCTTGATCCACCTTCCTGTGGCCCTAATGGGGGGTGTCAAATGGGACGGGCAGGGCTCTACACCCACCCACTGTTCCTTCTTCTTTCTCTGCTCAGGAGCAGCTTCGGCTGGGCCCTCCGCCGTCCATACCGGGCCCGAGTGCAGGTAGATGGGGGCGAAGTAGTGAGACTCAGACACTGAGTAGCTGCCCATGATGCCTGTGTGGGGCAGAGGGAAAGAAGGATCATCAGAGAGGGTCTCAAGTTCCCTTGAAGACAGAACATCTGTCAGACCCCAGCCCGGGAGATGCAGAGTCTCTGGCCAAGAGGCTGGACTAGTTAAAGAGGTGAATGGACAGATGGACAGAACAGGCAGCTAGTTGGGAAAACTGATAGGTAGACTAACCAAAATAGCCAGCCATGAGAGACTGCCTATCCATAGACAGACAGGCCAATCATGAAGGGTGAAAAACATTAAAAGTGACATGGGATATTTCATATTGACAAAAAAGAGCAATTGACAAAGAGGCTCCAACATCTGTAAACCTTTATGCATCTAATAACAAAACATCCAAATCCATATAGCAAAAACCCCAGGGCAAAGTTAACATCTGTCTCTAAAATCTACAGCTTCAGTAGACATACAGGCAACAGACCATCCAGCTGGGGGAGTCCCCCACATATCTCTCTACCCTCAGCCCCTCCTGACACCCCCCAGACTCCACTGCCCCATCCTCCTCTGCTCCACCCTCCGACCCACATCAAAACAGTCATTCCAAGGAGCCCTCCTTACCGGATGCCTGGGAGGAACTCCTGGAGTCTTGGTCACAACCCTCCTCCAGGGGCGGAGAGACTTCTGGAAAGAGAGCATTCCGCCGCTCCTCGGCCACCTCCCGCTCCCGCCTCAGGACACTCTCCACCTCCCTCTCCAGCAGCTCAGATGACTGGGACTTTTGTAGCCTCAGCGCTGGCGCCCTAGCCACCTCCCAGCCCCAGATTCCTGGGGGCTCAGCCTTCTGGGGCACATCTGGGACCCTGAACAGCGGGGGACGCAGGCGGAAGTATTCCCATCGCACCACACCCCCGTTGGCTTGCAGGGGTCCCCTGGGGGGCTTCCAGCTCTCCTGCTTCGTGCCTGAAGGTTTTCCAGAGGTTGCCGAGACAAGCCTTTGAGACCCTGTGGCCTTTGGAGAGGCCACCGCCTTGCCCTCATCTGCAGAGAGCCCACTTGGCTTGCTGTATGCGCGGAGGGCTGGGGACTCTTGCTGGGGCGTCCCAGGGCTCAGGTACGGCAGGTAGGCGGCAGGTGGGATGCGGTTTACCTTTCTCACGTCTGGGGCGGGATCGGCTGCACTGGCGTCTGGGGCCAGGCCAAGGATGGAGTCCGAGCTGAAGGCTCTCCTGAGTCCAGGCCGGGGGTCCTCTAAGGCCCAGTCGGGCGTGGAGGCCCGGCCCACCTGCAGGCCTTCCCGCCGGTGGTCCTCCTCACGCTGCGTCTCCTGCACCATGTCACGTTGTACATAGAGCGATGGGCGTCCCCTGTCCCGCCGCGGGGCCGCGGTCAGGCTCACCTTGGTCAGCAGTGGCCGCGTGGGGATCTCCACCAGCTCCTGGTGGTTGTCGGCCCGCTGCAGACCCCTCTGCTTGCGCAGAGCAGCCTCGCGCTCCTGGACCAGCCGGATCTCCCGCTCAATGGGCGTCTCCTTGGGGACCTCCAGTGACTCAGCTGGGGACTGGGAACCAGGGTCATCCACAGCTTGGATACCAGATGCCTTAGACAAACCATGGACCCTCTTCTTTTCCTTCACCTGGGGCTGGACTGAGACAACATAGCCATTGGCTAGGGACAGCCCGTTCAAGGCCTTGGGGGCCTGGCTGATCCTGGGTGGGGCACATGTGGGGGCCACCCTGGCCTGGGGGTTCTGAGGAATCCCCGCGTTTGCCTTCTCTAGACTCAGGAACTGCTGCCTTGCTGCCAGGAAGTCGATCTGCTCCCTGTTGATCACGTTTTCTTCCAGGGGCATGGACTGGGGTCGGCCAGAGGTCCTGGTATCCCTGTGGCCAGGGGTGCCATGGAGTGTGGCCACAGTGCCACTCTTCCTGACTGCCTGGTTCTGGATGACCACCCAGTGCTCCCACTGCAAGTCTCGTGGCCACCTGGGTGAGGCGTCCCTGGTGTCCAACTGGTAAGCTTTCACCTCCTCATCCTCGTGGTCCTCCTGCCGCAGGAACAGTTGGCTGGGAACAGCACGCAGACTGCAGGGCACCCCTGTCCTCACCACGTCCAACTGGGCTTTGTAGTCAGTGGTCCATGCCTGAGGCTGGTCCTGGCCCCAGCCACTGGCTGAGGGCTCCACGTCCACCAGCTCGAACATGTAGCCAGTATCCCCATTGAGAGCCAGGCTGGCCACGCCTGGTGAGTCGGGGATGCTAAAGATGGGGTATCTGGTCACACGGTCCATGCTCTGGGGGTTTAAGCCTGCCACAGGCTCCCGAGGTGCAGATGCTCTTGGCTCCCTGAGGGATGAGAAGAAATAATGGCCACCAGGTCAGAACACTTGGGAAGAGGCACAATGTCCAGGCCCTCAAAGGGCAAAGTCCTGCCCAAGTGGCCTATGTGACTGGGTTAGGGATGGACATATGACTCAAACCTGGCCAATGAAATGAAATCCTGGGACTTGGCAATGAATGTTGCCACTCTTCCCCCTAGGCTTGTTAGGTTGTGGGATAAAACTGAACTGCTGGGGGCCCTATGTGGTCCCTTGTGGACACAACTTGCTGGAGAGCAACCCCAACCCCAACACAACATCCTAAAAATATTGTTTGAGCTCCTAGATCCAGCCACACCTGAATCTTGCCCCTGTATGGACCCAACAACGCGCCCCATGTTTGTCTGACATTTGCAGTTGTCCTAGCCTACCTCATCTCCCAGATGCTGCACACCCTGCCTCGTTGAGCCCCTGCTGCTCCAATCCTACTCCTCCCTTCTTCCACTCAGTTCATCGTGTCCAAACCCAATGCCACCCCTGGGCAGCCTCCCTGGGTCTCCACCAGCACGTGTGTCTGCAGTTACCGCTGTAATTGCTTTCATCTGACATTTACAGATGGCTCCAGTAGGCTTGCCTCCCACTGGGATGAAACAGGCCCAGAGAGGGACAGCAAATGGAGAGACTCTAGCTTCCTGGATCCCACATCCTAGTTCTTTCCCCAGCACCTGCCCAGCAGGATACCTTGTCCCATAAAAGACAACCCCCTCCACCTTGGTGCTATAAATCCAGGACAGGCTAGGGAACGCCTTGGATCTTGTCCCACTGGGCTGGGTGACACCCTGACCCAGTGCCCTGAGGGCACTAGCCCCCACCAAGTATCTGGGTTCCTGCTGAGTATGGCTCCAGACTTCTCGAAGGTCACACATCTGATCTCACACCTCCGTGGCTCCTGGCACCTCCAGGGTACAGTTCTCACTACCCATCCCAGATGCTCAAGGCCTCTATCTAGCCTCACCACAAACCCCCAACCTGACCCTCCTCCTTCCCCTGCAGCTCTCTCTGCCTGGAGGACCCTCATTTCTGCTATTCCATAGCTTCTGTGGCTGCACCCCACAGGACACCTCTCCAGGGAGACACCCCCACCCAGATTGCCCTCACTATTGGAGCCCATCGTCTGAGCATCTCCTGTGTGCCCAGCCCAGTACCCGTGTGTCAGATGTCACCTTTTTACAGCTGAGAAAAGGAAGATAGGCTGTCCCCAATTCCTCAAGCAGCCCTTGTTCTTGGCCTTGGACCCTGGTTCCTCCAGAGATACTGTGTACATCTGCTGACTTTTTATACCAACTTGCTTATAAAAGCTAAGTGTGGTTCTAAAAAGGAAAACGCAGCCGGTTCCTGAACTGGGAAAGTGGCATCAAGCAACATAAAATGAATCATTGGGACAGTGTTACAACTAGCATGTTATGAATCACCCAATCTTTTGTATGTATCAAATATTGAAACTATAATTAGGAAAACATATTTAAAATAAGCAGTCTTGTGTAGTGAATCCCAGCCACTGTCCCAGTGAGCATGCAGCCCCCCACAGAGATTTTCTCCTTGAAAGTTATTGGGAAAGCTTCTTTGAAAGGGGCATAAGCTTATTTAAGTCCTGTCTTCTCCCACCTGAAGCCACCAGCCCAGGACCCTCTCTCCCAGTGGCCCCAGGTGAGCACCCCTCCTGCAGTCCAGAGTCTGGTATTCAGCTGGTGCTTAATAAAGTCTGGCTGAACAGGGTGTGGTCTCTGCAAACACCACTCATTCTAGATGCTCAGCCAGACCCAAGCCTGTCCTCTGGCCCAGCTCTGTCCCTATGCCCTGGAGTTCCCCAGGGAAGGCAGGTATGGCAGGGGTGACTCAGGAGTGTTTGCCAAGTGAGTGGCTGGATCTTCACTCACGGCCATTTATAAGCCACATGGCACACTAACTCTGGCAAAAACATCCACCTGCCCAGAGGGTGTTAGGTCTCCACGTAGGGTGGGGGCCCCACTTCTTCCACTGCTCACTCCTCCCAGGTGATTCACTGAGGCCAACAAGGGGTGGGGCTCAGTCTGGGTCTTGGGTTCAAGGTCCCAGGGCCCCTCTCACTTGTGGCCTTGGGCAAGTCTCAGCTCACGCCTCGATTATTTGCTCTTCCAAGAGCCTGTGATAAAGGGGCCAGTCTCATCCCCAATTTACAGCAGAGGGAACTGAGGCTCAGAGAGGGGAAGTTGTTCACTGGAGGTCACACAGGAGTGACAGAGCAACAGGTCCTGAAGCCCAACCCCTCACTCCCTGGTGGTTGCTTCCTCCTCCAGGAAGCCCCTCCCCTGGTTACTCCTCCCTAGCCCCACCCCATACCCTGGTCTACACCAAATTGCAACTGCATTTATGGCCCCTGGTGCCAAATACCTACTTCCTCATCACTGTAACTGGCCTCCCACCCTAGGGGCAAAGTCCTGCTGGAGGGGCCGAGGCTTAGACAGGGCAGGTCACACAGCAGAGAGGGGCTCCAGGGGTTCCTCTTCCATCACTCAAGGCTGCAGTCGCCCTGAGCCCCTGGCTGGGCAGAACCCCCAACCCTTTGACACACCTGGACACAGGGATGAGTCTCTGCCCCACGGGACCCCGGCCACCTGCTTGGGGGTTGTATAGAGCCTCTGTGCTGACACCGCATACACCGACTGTCCCACCTCCACTCCTCCTGTGTGCCCCATCAGACCTCAGACGCAAGGAGTGTTGTGTGCTGCTCCCCAAGCAAGACTCTGGCTGGTGCTGAGTGCCTCCCAAGAAGCCTCCAGGATCCCTAGAACCCATGGGAGGGGTTCTCTGGCCTCTGGCCAATCAGACCTCTCCTTCAGAGAGTCAGGGCTCAGGGTTCATGGATTTGGGAAGCCCAGGGTGGAGACTGAGGCCCTGGCAAGGCTCAGGGCCAGGCCTTCTGCTCCCCAGGGTTGGGGGAGAGCAAGGACACAGGCCTCAGGGCTTCAGAGCCAGGTCAGAGCAAGGGGAGGCCCCCCACCAGCCCTTGAGACCCCAGCTAGGTCCAGAGGGGTATAAGGCAAGGATGGGGGCCTCCCTTTCTGCACGCCAAGTACCCCACAGGTAAGTGAATGGTACCAAGTGGCACAGGAGTCCCCATGCCTAAAACAGACCACACAACCACGCAGGACCCCACCCCGTCCGAGCTTCATATGCTGCCTGGCCCCCTCATGCCCCAGCCTCACCTGCCGGCTGTGGACCCCAGCAGCCTCCGAGCCCGGCTCTGCTCCTGAAACGGGCACAGAGGTCTCCCAGCACCACCCTGCCCACAGGTTGCCAGGGTACAGGGCCCCGCCCAGGGAATGCAGGGGTGCCCCCTCCTCTGTGGCCCCACCCAGGCTCAGGAAACAAAGTCCAGAGGAGAAAGAAAGGCGATACCCAGGCAGGGCGGAGGGTAGGTGCCATGCCCACTGCACGCTATTCCCCGGCCCCCAGCACCATGGAGCTGGAACTCACCCCAAAACCTCCCTCTAGCTGCCTCCTGGCTCTCACCACCTATCAGCACCACTCAGAGAGGGGCCATCACTTTCCCAGGGTGACACAGCAGATCCATGGACCAGCTGCCCGTTTCTCAGTGGGAGGGGGTCTGAGTCCCAGGCCCCTCCACTGTCACACCTGGCTCCCTTCACCCTTGGTCTACTCCCCCAGAGCCTTTCTGGGACAAGCCCGGTTTGCCCGTCTCTGGGGGTTCAGCTGGGTCTGGGTTAGAATCCCCCTAACCTCTCAGCCTGTTTCCTCCTCAATGAAATGGAGCCATCACACAGCTGGGAGAATTCACTTGGGCGTAAAAGGCCTATTGAGGACATCACAAGTACCAGAAAATGTTGGTGGGTGGGCAAGGCAGACAGAGGCACTGAGGCTGTAAATGAGCGGCAGGTCCTCCCAGGTGCTCAACTGACTTGCTTGAGTCTTAGTCAAGGTGCCGCGGGAGCCCAGTGTCTGCAGGGGAGTCAGGCTACTGGGCCCAGCGGTCAGTCTACTGGAGATGGGACACAATGGCTTGGGCTTCCATCTCCAGGGCTGGGGCTCTGTCCTGCCCTTTAGCTGGCTGTGGGGCCCCTCTGAACCTCGGTTTCTTCTTCCATCGAATAGGTCCCCAGCCCCGAATCTGCCTGGGATAGGGGGGATGTGACACAGGTTCAGATAAAGGGCCCAGCCCAGAATGACAGCTTGAGCATGCAACGTGGGCCAGCTCTATTAAAGCCTGGAGCATACAGCCTCGCTGTTTCCTTGCTACCCTCCTACAGGTCCTTTTACCTGTTCTGCAGACATGGAAACTGAGGCATGGCAAGCTTTAAATCCTAAGGGCAGACAGCATCAGTTGTGGGGCTGGGATTTGAACCTGAATCCACCATAACTACCACCTTATTGCTCATGTGGGGAAACTGAGGCCCAAAAGAGCAGAGACTGCATCACCCAGTGTGCTGGGGCACTGTGGACAGAAGGACCCCACTGTCCTGCTCCCAGACAGGGTGGCCTTTCATTCAGGGTTCAAAGCCCATTGAACAGATGGTCAAACTGAGGCCCAAGGGGGCAGTGACTTCTCCCAGTCACAGTGAGGCTGAATGGGGTGGCAGCACCCATAAACACTTCCTCTCTTGTACCTTTACCTGTTTCCCAGAGATTGAATTCCCTACAGAACTTGGGGGTGCTTCTGAGGTCCTTTCTGTTCCCTGGGGTGCTGTGAGCCCAGCAAAGGGCAGCCTTGCATTCAAAGGACCAGAGTGAGGTGAGGCAGGTGTAGGAGGGAGGGCTCCACAGGAAAGACAAGGCAAGTCCTCCCAGTGGCCGCATCCCTCTTACCTCCAGGCCTTACCTGCCCAGGTACTGCTCAGGTGTGTTCAGGTGCAGGTAGGGACTCCACAGATGCCCCCACAGCAGCGGGTGAGCCTGAGGGGTGCAGGGGCCACAGGTGGAAGAAGCCAGGTCTCTGGCCTGCGTAGCCTCCCTTTATGGTCTCCAATCCTGGGTGGGGCCTCACCCTGTCCCTCTGCCGCCCCACCCTCTGGCCGGCCACACCCTCCCACCTGGGGAAATCCAAGAACTGCAGGACCTGGGACTGTTCACACGGTTTATTTGCTTCTCTGGGAAAGTCAAGAACACAGGGCCTGTCACACATCAAAAGCAGAAGGGCAGCAAGGGCACTTCAGCAGAGGCTCATAGCTCGAGGACTCGGCGACTGGAGGGAAGGGGTCCACACCGCTGCCTGGGGCCACTTCAGAGAGGGCCTCTCCTTCCACCACCGAGGGGCAGAGCTAAGATGGGCCAGGGCTGTGGCCCAAGGCAGCCCCAGAGCTCCCCGTGCTGAGGCGGGGGTGGCCTGGGCCTAGGCATCAGGCGGGGAACCTGGTCATCCCACAGCCCACACATCAGAGGGTCTGTGAGTGTGGGCTTGAGTGCGCCTGCAACCTGGGAGACATGTGTGCACATCCCAGGAGGGGAGTCCTTCTACCGGAGATGGAGGGGAGGCTCACATTGGGCTGGGAGGCCAGTGAGGGTCTCCTGTTGCAACTCAGGAAAGCTCCCTGCTCCAGGCCTGCCCCCTTAGCAGCCCAGGAGAGCTGGCAGAGGGCCCGATCTCTGGGATACGATGGGGGGGCGGGGGTGGGAGTGGTGGAACCAGGACCCTGGTCCAAGCTGGCTGGAGGAGGAGCAGGGGCAGCCCCCCAGAGTCACCAAATTAGCACCAGGAAGGAGAACCCAGTGGAGGTGGGAGCTCAGGATAAGAGGTTTACACGGCCCCACCTTGTGCGGGGGCAGCTCGAAGACCCTCACTTGCCCCATCCAGAAGACAGCGCAGGGGTCACAGAACCCTCCTGAATGGGGTCATGTCCCCAGGGCTCCCTCTTCCCAGTCTCCATCGTCCACTGATTTTGCCCACAGAGCATAGAGGTGGGGGCACATCAGGCTGGGGGTGTCCATAGGGGCCCATGCTCCACCCCAGAGACCTGGAGCCAGGTCTCTGTCCGAGGCTCCCCAATGAGGCAAAGCCTCACCCCAACTGCCTGAGATCCGGCTGCCAAAGTCTTGGCTGGGGAACCCCACTTCCAGGGGCTGAATGGGGAAAGAGTAGGCCTCCAGGACCCCTTGGCTCCCCAGGGCCCCTGTGGTGGGATATCCCCTCGGGGACCTCACTGGAGGTGGCAGGAAGGCACAGGCAGGAGGCCCAAGGGTGATGGGCTGGCCTGGGACTGGACAGGGGCCCCGGGTTCCACCAGCCAGGACAACTGGGTGAGAGCCCATCAGTGGAATTGCTGCAACATGGCAGGTGGGCCTCCTCAGGAAAAGCGGGACTGTCGGTGTCTCTCTCCTACCAGGGGCACAGCTCAATGGTTTAGGGTATGCTGGGGTGGTGAGGGGTGGGGGACCCCTGTTCCTCTCTTTCCAGTGAAAGAAAACTCAGAAGGAAGATGTAACAACACAGCATGTCCTGGGGCCTGTGATTGTGGGTGGGGGAGGGCAGGTGCTGCCGGGCTGCGGGTGTCTGTGGCGTGGAGGGCGGGGCCTGGGTCTGGGGACGGGCGGATCACATGACAGAGCAGCATTTACAGCGCTGCTTCTTCATGTCGAGGTCCTGGGTGTCGCTGACCTCAGGCCCAACCTGGTTCTCTTCCCTGGAGCCCAAAGTGGCAGGGGGCTCAGCCGCGCTGCCGTTGGGCGGGGCATCCCCCTTGGACTCAGCTGTGTCCTCAATGACCACCAGCTCCGCGGTGATGGTGTCCTGCAGCCCCAGCACCTTCTGGGTCTCTGCCTCGTCCTCCACATTCTGGTAGCCCATGAAGATCATGGTGACCGGGGGCTCCTGGCCAGGCTGGACACCCGGCGGGCCCGACGTGGCCTCACCTGGCTGCGCCTGCACCCCAGCGATCTCTCGCCGGGAGGGTGTGGTGGTCCGCAAGGCCTCCTCGGACACCCCGCGGGTCTCCGCTGCCCCGGCCACGGGCCCTGCCTCGCTGAGCGTGATCTCGTCTGCCTTGTGGATGAGTTCGTCCACCTCAGAGGAGCTCAGGGGCTGGATCCCATTCACTGCAGTGCCATCCACAGCATGGACCACTGGTGGGAGGAGAGAAAGAGTGAGACCGTGGACCACTGGTAGGTGGAAGAGAGTGGGCTGGAGGGAAGGCCTGGCAGGTCTACAAGTGACTCTCTAGGCTAAAGAGAAAATCATAAATTAAATGAGACAGACAATGTAAGCTCCACACTGAGATCTGTGGACACAGCCAAATTGGTGCACAGAGGAAAACTTATGGGCACAAAAGCACTTGTTACAAAGAAAGACTGGAATTACAATAAATTGGGATGTTGTCTTGCATTTTGAAGCATTTGCATTTTGCAAAGTAGCTGTGTGTTTTTGTGTGTGTTTTATTCCCCCCCCCCCCCACTGAAAAGATGGCAAAAATGGAGAGAAGGGAAGTAATTAGCCCTAGGCCACACAGTTAGCCAGGGCCCAGGTCTGTTTCCCTGACCTGAGGAGTTGCAGGCATCCTGATTTCTCCCTTCCTCAGGGCTTATGTGATTCATCTTGAATTAAATTTAATTCATTTGCCCAGTCTTTCTTGTTTTCTTGTAAATGCCCCAAAGGCTACACCTCCTCCTCTAAGTTCAGCTTTAGCTGCAGCCCATGGATTAGATTACTATCTCTTGCGAGTGTAAATATCTTATAGTTTCTATTTTGATTGATTGCTTCTCTAAGCCAATATTTATTTAGAAGGATGTTTTTAAATTTCGGGGAGTGAGAGACTGTGGTCTGGGAACATAGAACATAAGATATAAAGTTTGCAACAGTCCTTATAGCTACCTCTACAGCTCAGGACACGGCCACTTTCTGAAAGTGCTCTACCTATGTCTGACAAGAACGTGCATTCTCCGTGGGTTAGAGTTTTATATGTGCAATCAGTCTTTTTTTTTTTTAATCCCTATCCCCTCTGCAATCAGTCTTGTTAAATGCATTTTCCAAATCTCTTCAACTTTTTTGCTCTGTCACTTTCTGAACTGTGTTGCAGTCTCTAAGGACAGGATTTCAACACCAAGGCAGAATCCTGGCCAATGTGTGATGCTAGTCCCAGATCACAGCCTGAAACTCCAAGAAGTACAGCTGCCTGGCTGTTCCGGGAGGAGGGAGGGACCCACAGGAGCTCAAAGACTCGCCTCTGCCTGGGCCAAGGGTCAGGGTTCCAGCTCCTGACTTCTGGCCAGAAGGAAAGTGCTCTCAACTTTCAGTTTTCAAATCCCTAGGGAGGGGCGTCCATGCTTCAAGGCCTCGCAATGACTTTGGGCTGGAGGCCCAGAGGGTGGGCGTGCCTGGGTCACACAGAGTCAAGTTGAGTATTTCCCACTGGCCACAGCCCCAAGAGTCTGAGTCCTTGGCCACCATGGAAACGGATCACCTTCCCATTGCTAAGCAACCAGAGTCCAGTCTGATGAGTCCTGACTCCCAGGGGCTGGGTCAGGCTGGTCAGAGTGGCCATAGCATGGACCTTCTGTGAGCACAGGAATCTCATTTGCCCCTCATCACTGTGTAGTAATTTTTGCCCAGGAGAATGAGGCAGCTGAAATTTACCCAGGACCACACTGCTGGCGAGAGCTGGAGCTGGAACCCCACCTGGGTCTGTGCCCTAAACCACAGCAGAGATGGGCTGTGACGAGACCCCATAATAACATCCTGGACGTCCCAGAGGCCCAGACAGCCACTAAGAACATAAGGCTTTGGGGATCAAAACCACAGTGAGATGTCACTTCACACCCAATAGAATGGCTATAATAATAACAAAAAAGTGGACAGTAACTAGTGTTGTCAAGAATGTGGACAAATTGGAAACCTCATGCACTGCTGGTGGGAAAGTAACATGGTTCAGCCACTGCAAAAAATGCCCCCACAGCTCCTCAGAAGGTTAAACCCAGAGTCCCCATATGACCCAGCAATTCTGCTCCCAGCTATCTGTCTAAGAGAAGTGAAATCATATGCCCACACAAACTTTTAAAACCAGAAGGTGGAAACAACCTAAATGTCCATCAACAGATTATTGGGTAAACACAATGTGGTCCATCCAAACAACTGGAATATTATTCAGCCATAAAATATGAACACGGATGGACCTTGAAGACACGATGCTCAGTGAGAGAAGCCAGACACACAAGGCCACACAGTGTGTGATTTCACTTATGTGAAATGTCCGGATCAGGCACACCCAGAGATAGGAAATGGGTTAGTGGTTGCCATGGTGGGGAGGGGGACTGACAGTTTTCTACTTGGAAAATGAAAATGTTCTGGAATTAGATAGTGAGGGTGTACCATGTGGTGAATATATGCAAACTCACTGAATTGTGCACTGAACACTCCATACATAATCTTCTCACAAGGGCAGTGTCTTTGGACTCACTAATGGACTCCAGAGCTGAGCTATATTCACCTTAGATTTGACTCAGGAGATTAGTTCTATGAACTTCATTCCATGAAGAGAGTAAATGTTTGCCTTGATTTTGAATGTACCTTTTAATACCTTCTTAAAACATATTTTGTTCACTAACATAGATTTCTTTTCTTTTACTAGCATCACGGTAAATACTGCCTAGAATTTCCCCCTCCTCAGAGTCCCCCTCCTCAAGTCATGCCAAAAGTGAACAAAAGTTTAAATGCCAAGATGTTTATGAAACTGCTCTGGAAATACTGATAAATTGCACAGTTTAAATAAAAGTTTTCCTTACTAAAAAAAAGAGTAAATTGGGCCGGCTGAGTGGTACATTGGTTAAGAGCTGGCTTGGGACGCCAGAGGGCCCTGGTTCGGATCCCACATATGAGGGCCGGTGACACTGCTCTCTACAGCTAAGATGCTGAACAACAGCTCGACCTGGAGCTGGGCTGCCGTGAGTTGCCAGCAATGGTGTAGGCTGCAGCCCTTGAGGCAGTGGGTTGCCATGGGCTACCGTATGTAGCCAGCAGCCAGCATGAGCGGCCGTCCAGAAACCGGCTACTGATCTGCCTTGCCCGGGAAGAGTGCAATGATGATGCCACCTTGGGCCAGTGAAGCGATGTCCTCCACAACTAGACTGAAGAACAAAACGACAGCAACTTGTCTGTTCCCCTTCCCCCAAATTCCCCAGCGCTGTTCCAATTCCCCAATAAAAATCTTTAAAAAAAAAAAGAGTGAATTTGGGCTGGCTGAGTGGCGCATTGGTTAAGAGCTGGTTTGGGACGCCAGAGGGCCCCGATTCGGATCCCACATATGAGGGCCAGTGACACTGCTCTCTACAGCTAAGATGCTGAACAACAGCTCAACCTGGAGCTGGGCTGCCGTGAGTTGCCAGCAATGGTGTAGGCTGCAGCCCCTGTAGCAGTGGGTTGCCATGGGCTACCGTGTGTAGCCAGCAGCCAGCGTGAGCGGCCAGCAGCCCTGTGAGCGGCCGTCCAGAAGCCAGCGACTGATCTGCCTCGTTCAGGAAGAGTGCAATGATGATGGTGCCAACTTGAACCAGTGAAGCAACGTCCTCCACAACTAGACTGAAGAACAAAAGGACAGCAACTTGTCTGCTCCCCTTCCCCCAATTCCCCAGCACTGTTCCCATCCCCCAATTCCCCAATAAAAATCTTTAAAAAAAAAAGGGTGAATTTGATAGTATGTGAAATATATTGAGAGAAAGAGAGAGAGAGAGAGATGGGCTTTTGCTCCAGGATCCCCTGCTCCTCCCTGTTCCAGGCTTCCTTGGGATGTTGCCCACAGCCTGTTTCACTCCTAGCCTCCAGAGGGAACCCTAAAAACTAAATCAGATTTCATTGTCATGTCCCTGCTTACCCCTCCCAAAGCTTCTTCCTTCCTCTCCCTCCACTCTGCACCAGCCCCCTCAGGCTCCTCTTGGTCCCTCCATCCTAGCAAACTCCATCCCACCTCAGGGCCTTTGCACATGCTGTGGCCTCTGCCATGTGCACTGTTCCCCCAAGTCCTGCTATTCATCCAATGAACTCCTACTCACCTCCCCTGAGGAGTCCCCCAGCCCTGTTTCCATCCTGCTAGACTCACTCATGGCCTCATCTACTCTCTGGGATTTTTGTAGCCTCTACCACATCGGTAATTATTCCAATGAGTTATTTGTGAGCTGGGGAATAAAGGGCTGGGCTTGCTGAAAGGGCAGTTCTAATGGGGATTTGATTTCCAGAGCCCAGCCTGGTACCTGGAGCTCAGCCAGCCTTCAAGGCAGGTCCCTGGAGTGGAGGAAGGCCTAGGCCAGGGGTCCAAGCTCTAAGCAACAATGGGCTGAGGGCAATGAGGCCTTGGCCCTGAACAGCGATCCTGAGAAGTAAGATGGGGGTCAGGCTCTGGCTCAGGCCGTGAGAGGGGACATCGGGGTGGGGTGAGGGTTGCGTACCTTTGGTCTCGTCCTCGTAGACCTTGACGCCCTGAGGGAGGGGCTCCCGAGGGAGCGAGGTGGTGCTGGATAGCACCCGGGTTTCCCCGGTCACCTTGTCCTTCTCCACTGTGATCTCGACAGAGTACATGGCTGGCACGAGAGGCACGGGTTACGCTGCGGCCGCCCCCCGCGTGCCCCCCACAGGGCTGCAGCCAAGCCAGGGAGAGGAGCCGGGCGCAGAACCAAGCAGCAGGGACGTCCCAGGTGCATCCCTCCCCCACTCAACCTCCTTCCATGGCCCCTCAGTGCCCTGGTGGCAGGTCCTGACGCCTCTGCTCCACCCTAGGCCCATCCTTGCCTTTCCTACCCGGTCTGGAAAACCTCAAACTGTCCAGTTTGCTCAGAGGAGCTAGTGTACAGAAAGGGCTGCCTTGCTACGGTCACAGCCACAACTGGAACTTGGGTCAGCAGGCTAGCCCTTCCTGGACCCCTGTTTTTCATGCCTGTTTTCAATTGCTATCAAACTTGTCCTCACCTACTTCTCTATGAAGAATGTATAACTCCCTCTTGAAATAAGTGAATGTCATTATCATTGGGGCCACAATTTGATACCCAGCATGTCACCCCCGCTCTGTAGAAATCATTACCACAAAGCTACACGGGACCTCACCCTGAATTCCACTATCACTCCGCCTCCTCCACCTTTCCCTTGGGGTCCCACAGAAGCCCCCAAATCACCATGCCCAACAGCCCCTCCCAATCTGACCCCTACACCTGCCTCTTCTGAGTCCCAACCTAGTCAGGGCAGCTCTGTTCTTCTTCCTCTCTCTCTTTCACCCCTTGCTTTGTCCTTCTGCAAATTCTGTGGGTTCCACCATCGGAACAGGCTGAATCCACCCACTTCTCAACCCCCTGCAGCCCATGGTCTACTCTCCTCACGAACACCAGAGGGCGCCCATGAACACCTGAGTCAGGTTTGGCCTTCAGACCTCACAGCCTTCCCTCCCTGAAGCCACCAGAGGGTGCCAAGGAGCACAGAGTCAGCAAGTCCCTGTTCTGCCCACCGCCCTCTATGGCTCCCACATCTTTCGGGGTAAAAGTCCAAGTTCTTCCATGTGCACAACCTGCCTTGTCACCTCCTTGCTCTCACTGCCTCCCTCTCTACTCGTCACTCATTTCATTCCAACCAATATGGGCGACCACGTGGTTCCTCCAACACTCCAGCCCCCGTCCAGCCTCAGGGCCTTTGCACATGCTGTGTCCTCTGCCTGGACCTCCTTTCTCCCAGATGTCTGTATACCTTGTTCCCTCACTTCCTTTGGGTCCTCGTGTAAATGTCACTTCCTAACTTTGGTCTCCCCTGAGTCCTCCGATTAAAATTGTCCCCTCTCTAGCTCCATATGCCCTGCCTTATTTTCTCCATAGGTTAATTGTATGGGCTGTCACCGCCATCGGAATATCAGACCCCTATCCCCCAAGCTGTGTCCTCATGCCTGGCACACAGCAGAGGCTTAAGAAGCACCTGTTGAAAGAATGTTATTTAACCCCACTTCCCTATACAGCCTAACACCCCTTCCTCCAGACACACAGTTGGGCAGGTTGTACACTCCATGAGGTTGCTGGCTGAGGGGACAAGTGGGGGCACCTGGCCTCGGTGCTGAGGAGCTGGTCTAACTGGCACAGAAGCCCTGAAGGCATCCCCCTCTCTGGGAAATGCTACCCTCTGTCTCCTGCTCCCTGGGGCAAAACTCACGTGGACTATGCAGGTGATGCAGGGCCTCCCCTGCCACCCACTCCCTTCCCGTGTGTTGTCACATCCTGGCCACCCTGACCCTAAGAGAGTCTTCACCTCCCAACTTGTTCTAATAACTGCAGCAGCAGCAGCAGTAAGAAGGCTCTGCCATCCGTTATGACTCATCTTCACTCGGGCTCAGTTCTGTGCCAGCCCCAGGCGTGAGGTCACTGCAATCCCACCCCTCCTGCAGGTGGAGACTGAGGTCCCAGTTGTCAGGGGGCACAGCAGGGCTTTGAACTTGACCTTGCAAATGGTCAGCACTAACCCTGTCTCTCTCTGCTTCCTACAAGCACAGAAATGCCAGAGGCCCGGCTTGGTCACCTCCAGGGACAGGGGATTCACTCCCTCTCCTGGGGCGCCTGAGGATGGTGGAGGAGGGGGATTTGCAGCGAGTGTATAAGGGCTTGTTAGAGCATGTACACTGCCCCCACCAGGTCCCAGGAACAAGCAGTGTGGTTAAGGAGATGGAAGCCATGAGGAAGTGACGGGTTCAAGCGGCCATGCGAGGGGGCCCATCTTCTCAGGGAAGCCAGGCCGGTGTGTGACCCAAGGCATCAAAGCAGAGGGGGTGTGCAGGCCCAACTCCAGGCTTGGAGCCATGGTCTTGGTCCAGCCACCACCCCATAACCACAGCCCCTACTGAGGGTGCGTCTGCATCTGACCTCAGCCTGGTCCCTCTAGGCCCCCAGCACCAACACTTGGCCCAAGACAGTGGCTGGCCGCCGGAGACAAGGCGGGGGGGCTGACCCACCTGCCTTCATCATGGTGGAGCCTTCGACCATCCTCATGGGGGTGTTGGGGACATGCTTCTCTGGTTGGTGGGCAAAGAGTGGAGAGAGAGATGGGAGTCAAAGGAGAGAAGACTATGCAACCCTCCAGGCACCCCCAAACACCCAGACACCCCCGACACCTGGACAACCCCCAGACACCCAGACACCTGGATACCCACAGACATCTGGACATTCAGAGATCCAGACACATCCCAGGCACCTGGACATCCCCAGACACCCCGCAGACACCTGGACACTCCCCCATATACCCAGACAATCCCCCAGACACTTAGCCAGCCCCCCAAGCACCCAGATACTCCCCCCAGACACAAAGACACACCTGCCCAGATACCTGGTCCTTCCCCTAGTGTATGCATGCACCCGGACCCCTCCACATGCCCAGAACCCCCCAAACACAGAAGGAATCCCTTCCCCACAAAACACATCAGCTCACAGTCCATTTCCTGTCCCTAAGCCCAAGTGATTTTCACAAAATCCCTGAGAGGCCTGCGTGCATTTTTTTTTTAAATTATAAATTTTTAATTCCACAGTAAGACAAGGAGACAATCTCCTTATGAATAATTAACACACAAGAAATCAGGCCAAAGACACTTCTGGCTACCACCTCCAATCCTGGCTGATGGCTCTCCTCCCACACTTTAGATATGGAAGTGGACAAGTTTAATATATATTTTAAAAATAGAAGTCATATTAAATAATTTTAATATACTTAATGTATTTAATAAACCATTATATTTATAGCTAAACACATATTTAAATGTCCTGTATACATGTGAAACATTTGCAAATGTGTATATTATACCTGTAATAATGGGCGGGGGGGGCATAAAATGGGTCCCAAAGCTCAAACTTTGGTTTTTTTCTGGTCTGTTTTGTGGACCCTTGCCCTGATCTTCAGGACGGTGGGGACCTTGTTCTCCCCACCAGCCCTCTGAATTCTTGCCCTCACAGACCTTATTTCACCGATGTGAAAACCGAGGCCCCCCCACCTACCCAGGAGCTCAGAGCAACTGGATGTGGGACACAGGGGTCAGCGAAGCCCAGCCACCTCCGCATGGATGGGACTGACCCAGAGCCTCCGCTTGGGGCTAAGACCTCAGCCAGGCACGCCCCTGCAAAGCCTCAGTTTCCTTATCTGTAAAGGGGTGTGTGTGGGGGGGGGGTGTTACAGCAACTCCACCCCAGGAATGCTGTGAAAACTAAGTACAATGATGATGAGGACACTGGGCCAGGCTTCCAGCGGGCTCCATGAGAATGGCATTGTTGCTATAGTCATTGTTGCTATTACTGTTACTTGCTAGCAGCAAGGCACGCTCCCCTGCCCGCCATTCCCCCTCTGGCCACCAGAGGGCGTCGAGGCCCCAACCGTCCCTTCCAGAAGCCGTACCTTTGGGCGTGCCCACCGGAGTCTGAAAGAAAGAAAGGAGAGGGGTCAGGGGTGCCAGCGCCCCCTCTCACGGACCAGGATCCCACCTGTGAGGGAAGGAGCCTGGGGAGGGCCTGGCTCAGCCGTGATCTCATCTCAGGTGCCATCTCCTCCTGGATGCATCCCCTGTCCCCCCAGCCTGTGATAGCCAGATGTCCCTGTCCTGCTCAGAAGCTTACGTGGCTCCCTAGTGCCCCCAGAATCCTCCTTGGTGATGCCCAGGGACATCAGTAGACCCCTGCCCACAAGCCTCTCCTTCCTACCCCCATCTCTGGTCAGCTTCCCTGGCTTCCTCACTGTTTCTGAAACACATTCCTGTCTCAGGGCCTTTGTGTGCCCCTGGAAGGCTCTTTCTTGGCTGGCTCATCAGTTAGATCCCTGACCACCCAATCCAAAGGTGATCCCCCCGTTACTTGGTGATCCCTCAAGTTACTATGTTATCTACTCAGCCAGTGTCTGTCTCCCCTGAGGATATGGGCAGGGCCCATGCCAGCACACAGCCTGTGCTCAGTTAGCTTCACTGAAAGCCCCTTCTCATCTCATGTCTGTGCCTAGAGAACTCCTACTCAACCTTCAAAACCCACCTTCTCTGGGAAGCCTGCCCAGCCCTCTCGTGAATCAAATGCCTCCTTGGGTAACTGGGGTGGGATAACAAGGATGTGTAGGAGGAGAGGAGGAGTGTCCCACAGGCCCCTTGAGTCCTGAAAACAACTAAGGTGGTTGGGAGACTCCTGATTTTGCATGGACGTACTGCGGCAACCATAAGCTCAGGGCCCAGTGTTCCAATCTGGTTTTAACAGAACCTGGTAGACTTCAGGCCCTGGAATCAACAGCCTTGTGTGGCCCTGAGCCCATCTCTCAACCTCTCAGGGACTCAGTTTTTGTCTTCCATCAAATGGGGACAGTTCCCTCCTAAAAGGACTCTCATGAGGCTTGGACAGGTGGTACCTGGAATGTGTTCGGCACAGGTCAGGCATGCATTAAGTGCTCAATAAAGTAATGACAATGATGACAAGTGGGTGGCATTCATGAAAAGCTCCCTTTGTGTTGGGTCTTGTGTAAAGTATTTGTCATCCATGGATCCATTTAGCCCTTGAGACATCCCCAGCACGTTGGTGCTCTTTCCAGTAGGAAAACCGAGGCCCAGAGAGGCAATGCCACATGTCCCAGGACACACGGCTGGGAAGTGGCAAGCTGGGATTTGAATGTAAGGGTTTTGTGCTAAAGTCTGGCCACAGCAGGGGTGGGGGCCCGGGAACCTCCTTACCTGACGAGAATTCAGCACCACCTCTGCCTTCTGGGCCTCCTTGGCCAGGCTCGGGGTTGCCACGTTCTCCTTGATGGCGACTGGGGGCACATCTGTGTTCTCTAGCACCTCAATTTCCTTCTCCAGCCTGTGGGGTGGGGGTGGGGGGCAAGGTGGCAACCCCCACCAGGCACTTCTGTGTGCTTGGCACCATTCTGGGCACTTTCTGTATGTACAGGGACCCCTGACTTTGATGTTTTCTAACACCCTGTGAGGTACTCTTGTCATTTGCCCTCCACTTTGGGGAAATTTAGGCCCAGTGTGATGAATGCTTGCAGCCAGGGACCTAAACCCAGACTGTCCATCCACCCGTCCCTTCACTGCCTGTGCCACTGCTGACTTCATTTGCTCCCAACTGCCTCTCCTTTTTTCCACTCAAATAGATTTATTTTTACAGGAAGCTTTACCTCTCCAGGACAGCTGGAAAAACCATGTCACTTTCCAAGTGTCAGAAAATAACAGTACACCTAAACCCCATGCAACAAAGCCATTGTATTGAGTCCTGCCCCAGCCATCACCCGCCTGAGGGACAGACAGGGTGAGTCTGCAGCCTCCCAACATAGTGAGCCCAAGTCAGCAGGCTAGACACAGCTATGGTCAATCTGGAGGGCTTCTTGGAGGAGGAGTCAAGGCAGGGGGCACTGAGTGGGCAAATAAGGGTGGTAGAACCACCAAGGAGTGGGTTACCCTGAGAGGGAGAAAGCCAAAGACCCCCTAAAGCGGTCAGCATGTGTCAAACTCACAGTAGGGCTCAAGCCAGCCCCCCACCCCCAGGACTGCACCCAAAGGGTGGAAAGTAAAGGAGCCACTTTGTCGAGCCCCCATTGGCCAGCAATTCCCATCGGCTTTTCGACCTGCCCTGTATGTGTCCCTCTGCCCAGTCACCTGACATCTCCACATAGGCCCATCTCAGCCTCCAGCTTGTGTGTTGGAATTAAGATGCAGAGGTCCTCTGCCGACTCATTCACAGGGGGGGAAACTGATGCCTGGGGACAGAAATCCTAGCAGACCCCCCACTTTCTTCCAAACCAAACACATCAGTGCAGGATCTGAGGTTCCCATGGCAGGGCCAGCCTCAGTGCCCTCTGGTGTGGTGTGCTTTGGGACAGGGACAGGCCACATGCCTCTCAGGCCACTCCTTGGCCAAGTGGACATTTGGAATTTTGGCCGTCACTTCCCTCTGTCCTGACCCTGCTGCCCTGGCACTGAGCCTGGGCCTCCTGCCTGCCCGGAAGCTCCAGGCCTTTTGTCCTAGCCGGGAGGATGGTCACCTTCCCCAGCCCACCCCTCCCTGCCTTCCTGCAGGCCCAGATGCTGGGGCCTCTGGGGCCACCATTAGAACCCAGCAGAGAAGAGCTCACCAGCTGGCCTGGCGCCAGGAAGCACCTAGGGAGGCAGCTGCTGGCAACTCCCATCCTCAGAGACTCAGGGATCTGCCCTAACTGCATGTCCCTCATGCACCTGCTTTGCTGGGGTGTCAGGAGAAGGGAAGGGTCATGCAGAGCAGCCCATGGCCCCCAATAGCCTACGTTGCCTCCTTCAGCTACCTGGAGCCTGGTCAGATGCTCACACTCCTGCACGTCTCCATTAAAGCAGTTAGGTCTGACTCAGTTCCCCCATTCCAGCCTTTGGGTCCCACTGCTTGGTCCCCCACCCACCTGGAGATGGACTCCTCCAGAAGCCGGGCCTTCTGCTCATCCTCTTGCATCTGTTTCCTCATGTCCCCATCCCCCTCTGAGGCGGAGGATGGTGTCCCCTCCAGCAGCCAGCGTTCCCGCAATGCCTTGGACTGGGAACAACAGGGGTCGGGGTCAAAGTTAGGGTCAGGGTCTGGGTTGGGGTCGAGGTCAGGGCCACCTCAGCCTTCCTGCTCCCCCTGACCCCTATATCCGGCAAGGCTCAGAGTCTGTGGGCACTGCCACCACCCCGAACCCCATGAGGCCAGGCTCTGCCCATCAGGTACCTTCAGGTGCTGCAGCTGCCGCCGGTCATCCTCCAGCTGCCGCCGCTTGCTATCAATCTCCACCTGCCTCTTCCGCTTTTCCTGACCAAACAGACCAGACTGGCTCAAGACTGGGCAGGGGGCCATGAAGACCCCACCAAACCCACCAAGGGCTCTGCCCACACAGACCCTGCTTTTACTGTAAAAGGCACTCACTTGGCCCACTGCCCCCTCCCACCTGTCTCTCCAGGCCATTTCCCCAGCCTTGGCATGAGGGCAGATTTGTACTATACACCAGCCTCAGTTTTCCCACCTGCATAGGGTGTCTAAGAGTCCATATTCAAAGGACTGAGGAGTTCCCTATGTTTTCATTTGTGGGAAAGTGCCAGCAGGCACTTCTGAGTCGCAGGGCCTCAGGATGAGTGTGGGAAGCTCCTGAGACCCCAGGTCCTCCCACTGGCCACACGGTCTGAGGGACAGAAAGAACTCACTGCAATGGCCAGCAGCCGCTCCTGCTGGGATGTGGTCTCTGCCACCAGGGTCCTAAGGGGAGGGGAGGGGAAAGACAAGGTCAAGCAAGGAGGGAGTCCACGCCACCCGTTTTCAGCAGATCTGGTTCAAATTCCCGCCCTGCGTCTTCCAGGTGGGTGATGGAGTTTCCCTTCTGTAAAGTGAGACCCTTCCCTACACCCCTCAGAGGCAGCACCATCCTCTCCATCCACCCTTCTTACCTCATTAATTCTCCCCACATACTCTTCTGCCACCCCCTCAGGGCAGGACCAAGGGACCAAGGGAGGGGTGAGGCTCTGTCTAGCGGCTCAGGAAAGGTGTGGGGAGAAGAGGACATTGAGACTAGGCTGTGAAGGGTGCATAGGGGTTCACTGGCACTCAAAGGCTAAAGGGTGTTTTAGCATGAGCTGCATAACCTCCTTGCCCAGACTAGTCCTGTCCACCTGTCCACCTGTCCACCAAGCACTCTTCGGCTCTGGGGGGTGGGGGGCAGGTCTTGAGCTCTCCCCCCAATTTTTTTTTTTTTAAGATTTTTATTGGGGAATTGGGGGAGGGGAACAGCTCTGGGGAATTGGGGGAAGGGGAACAGACAAGTTGCTGTCCCTTTGTTCTTCAGTCTAGCTGTGGAGGACGTCGCCTCACTGGCCCAAGTTGGCACCATCATTGTGCTCTTCCCAGGCGAGGCAGATCAGTCGCCGGCTTCTGGATGGCCGCTCACGCTGGCTGCTGGCTACACACGGTAGCCCATGGCAACCCACTGCAGCAGGAGCTGCAGCCTACGCTGTCGCTGGTGACTCAGGGCAGCCCAGCTCCAGGTTGAGCTGTTGTTCAGCATCTTAGCTGTAGAGGGCAGTGTCATTGGCCCTCATATGTGGGATCCGAACCGGGGCCCTCTGGCGTCCCAAGCCAGCTCTTAACCAATGAGCCACTCGGTCCGCCCTGTCCCAAATTTTGAAAGACCCTAGAACCCTTCTGGGAGGCCATGACAAAAGGCCCAGACTCTCCGCAACTTTCTTATCTTCACAGGGTCTGAAATTACAGACTATTCTTTGATTCTGCTGCCACCCCCAACACCCCTTGACCTTGTATCAGAGCCCAGAGCCACCCTGTGGCCTCCAAAGACCCTCCACCCCTCTGGACCTCAGTTTCCCCATCTGCACAGTTGGAGCAGACACCCCAGCTCTAACCCTTCTGTTATGTCCCCCTCCTCCTGTGGTAAATGGGAGCCCCAAGTCACAGTGCACTGGGTCCACCCTCAGCAGAGCCCCGGCCTCTGCCTCTCCCTCACCCCCAGGGGCCACTCCCTGTGATCTATCCTGGGCCGCGGTGCCCCATCTGCCCGCCCCACTCAGGTTCAGTTTCCTTGCCACGCTGAGACCTCTGAAGTCATCTGGCTCCCACGCCCCAGCCAGGTGACCCCACCCAGTTCTTCCCTTTCTGGTAGGTGGCAGCTGCCAGCTCTGTGCCTCCCCAGGGCCCAGCAGTGCCAGCTGCAGCCTCTGTGGCTTTCTTCTCTCCTGCCTTGGGAGGCTGAGTTCAGCTGGGTAGAGTTCAGGAAAGGCTTAACCCACCTATCCAGCTCACAGCCCTTCCTGAAGGGCCAGGTCAGCTAGGCTCTGGGTCTGCCCCATCACCCTGTGCGATGCAGGTAGGGTGTGCCACCCCTGTGCTCCCCATATAGGCCCATCCCCTCACTTTTTGCAAACTTCACATTTCCCATCCCAGCCCAGGCCTCTACTATCACCTGCCACCTCCCTGGCCCCTGACAGCTCCCTGTCCACCCCACAACCAGAGGGAGTACCTCAAAATGAGAATCAGAACCTGTCACTCTCCTGCTCTAAAGTCTCCTTGGCTCACATTGCCCCTTGAGAGAAACCCTGAGGCCCACATAACCTAACCCCCACCCACCTCTCTGCCCTGGGCCCCTCTGCTCTCTTTCCCTCACTCTGTCCCAGTCATCAGGACTTCCTGGCTGTGCCTCAACTGCACCAAGCTCATTCCTACCTTAGGACCTTTGCACTTGCTGTTCCCTCTACCCAGTAAGCTCTTCCCGTGGCTGGAAACCGAAGCCCAGAGAGGGCAAGCTATTTGCTCAAAGTCACACAGTTAGGAATTTGCAGAGCCAGGATTCAAGCCACAACTGCCCAGCTCTGGGCCACACACAGGCCTTCCCTTTTCCCAGCTCTAAGGAGGCCTCCAGAGATCAACCCAGAAAGGAGACGGGGCTGGGGAGGGGGCATATAGTAGTTGAGACCTCAGTGCACACAGGGCCCCACTGGGCAGAGGGACTAGCCGCCTAATGCAGGGTTTCCAGCGCGGCGGGCAGGTGGCCATTCAGACTGGACACAGGGACACAGGGACGGCAGTGAGGCCAGCTCCCCAGGCTGCAGACAAGGAGGGCAGTGTCCTCGCTTGGGCCGCCTGCCCCTGCTGGCCGAACCAGGGCAGGGGAAGGTCAGGCGGGCCCAGGAAGAGAATTTCCATCCTCCCCATCTGCGTCTCTGTTACAGCTCAAGAGGCTCAGGCTGTGCACCACCGTCAAGGCCCCTTCTCAGGCCTGGGGGCGCCGGAGCCGCCCTGCCCTGCCCCGCCCCGCCCCGGGCGCCGCCGCCTCGGGTGATGGATGGCGGTGCCCGCGGGAGGCGGTCGCCCTGGCAACTGCGCCGTCCCCATGGCAACGTGGAGGCCCAGCACGCGGGGGTGGGGCCAGCGCCATGCAACTCCCGCCCCCAGCCCGGCGCTGGGGGGCTTAGGGGCTTCCCGCCCTGGGCTTCAGGGGCTGCCTAGAGAGGATGGGAGGCAGAGGGGAAAATGGGTCTACCCTGCTCTGGCTGCTGTGGTGGTGGTGGTGGGGGTTTCCCTTCTGGGTTTAGAGGCTCCCGTCCAGGGAGGGGCCTCTACCCGGAAGGGTCTGGACCCGCCCCTGGCGCGAGGTAGGTCAAGCCAAGATAATGCTCAGCGTCGTAAATAAAACAAAATAGGACCATAGAACCCTCGTGAAACAGCGACAAGAAAGAACACCTTCCTCGGCGCTCCCCACTTTCCAGGCATGTCTCAGCCCCACTTTACAGGAGGGGAAACTAAGGCTGGGGTGGAGGGAGTCTGTAAACAACATTTGCTAAGCGTCCATCCTGATAGTCCTGCGAGGCGGGGCGGGGGTGGGGATGATTACGCTCGTTTTCTCAGTGGATGAACAAGCTGCTAAATGGTTACACTAGGACCTGCGGCCAGACAGGCGGGCTCAGCACACGGAGCACAGGGTCTCCCTAAGATCTGGAAGGGAGAGGGATGGTTGAGATGCTCACTAGGGCTCTGTGAGGGAAGCAGAGGCCAGATCACAAAAGATCTTATACACTGGGCAGAGAAGGTCAATTTTGGTTAAAACGGCATAGGGAGGATTTAGAGCAGCAGCTGCCGCCATTGGCTGTGTGACCCAGGGCCAGTCACTGGCATCTCTGAGCCTCCCCTGACTCCACTGCGCAATGGGCCACAGCTCGCAGCTGCTGGTGGAAGGACACACCCTTCTCCCAGACGCCCACCCTCAGCAAGCTCCTGTCCTTGCGCGATTATTTTTATGGCGCTTGGAGCAAATTCTGGGCTGCAGCCACGATGTGGGCGGCTCAGGACAAGGCGAGGGCGTCGGCTGCGAGCGGGTGAGATAATCCCGGCTCCAGGAGATGAGCTAAAACCCAAACTCAACGAGTCCAGCAGAGGTCTCAGCTTTGTGGGGCGTTTATTTTTTAAAGGCCCAGAGAGGTTACACAACCAGCCCAAGGTCACCCAGCGGGCAGGATAGGCGGGACAAGAGGCGGGTGAGGGGATTGTCATTCCAGAGCCCATGCCCAGGCAGCTCCAGCCAGAATGAGGGGGTCTCGGCTCATGCAGGCTCATAGCCCAGCGCTGGAACATTCCTGTGCTAATTGAAAGGAAACAGCTGACAATGACCTTGGCAATGGGGGAGGGGGACTGGAACAGGGAGGTGGTAGAGTCACTAGGGGTTGGAAGGTGGTGGTGAGAGAGGGAGCCCTGCAGCCCAATGGGCCCCTTCCCCCAGTGGGCAGGAGATGGAGTGGGGGGAAGTCCCCAATCCACCTTCTGGTTTTCAGCTCCCTGTTGGGCCTTTGTCTCCTCAGCACCTTCCTGGCTCCCAACCTCCTCCCACAGCTCCATTGCCCTGAATAAACCTCAGCCTCTCAGCTGCAATTCAAGCCCTCCTCTGTTTGCTCCTTGCCCTTCATCAGCTTCTTGCCTTCCCCTTTCCCTCCTCCACCTCCAAGCTCAGCTAATGCATAGCCCCCTCTTCCAGGAAACCTTCCTGGGTCTCCTCCCCTCATCAGGTGACCCCCAGGACCACTACTGTCACTGCTGAGGTGAACAGCCCATGAGGCATGAGCTTACTAGTAGGTTGAAGGCAGAGAAACATCACCCCCATAGTGGAGACTGAGGTCAGAGCAGGCCACAGACCCAGAGGAGCAAACCTGTTGCCTATTAACCTGGGCCAGGGAGAGCGAGGAGCTGAACCCTGCCCTGGGCCCTCAAAACAGGAAGGGCATTGGAACATGGATGGAGGCACTGAAGACAGAGACATTCCCCAAGGTCTGGATGCAGGGCAAATCCAGCTGAAAGATCAGCTCTAAAATCCCATGTTCCTGCCCACCCCTCACTCTGGTTCCAGTCACACTCAGACATCGCAGGCAAGTTCCCATCCCACAGACTTTGTACTGGCTGTGTCCCCTGGTGCATGCTCTTCCTCTATCCACAGGCCTCAATAATCCCCTCAGGCCTTTCCTCAGACATCACCTCTTCATTTAGGCCTCTTCTGACTTCCCTAATCAAGTTTCACCTCCAAATACCCCCGCCAGCTCTCACCACCATGCAACACCTTGGACCTTTACTTTTTTTTTTTTTTTTTTTTTCCCCACAAGGACAGTAAACTGTCTCTTTTTGTCCTTGCCATGTCTTCACACCCAGGACACAGCAGATACTCAATAAATGCTGAGATTTTTAGACTGGACCAGCAAGTCAATTAGGGT